CAATTGGCCATATACTAATAATTATTTAGGATAGATATTTTTGGGCTATACTCTTTTCACAATTGTTTTTGTTTGAAAACATAAAAAATAAAGGTTTTAAAAAGAAATAACTAATAACGTAAAGTAAACCAAGCTCAGGGAATTGTAAGCTTTGTATTAAGTTTACGAATATGTTTTGTAATGATTAAGCCAACCCCAAATATGTTTACTATTTACATGTGATTGTAAGAGAATCTGGCACATTAAAGAAATGGACAGATTAGGGACATGGAGAAAAATAAATTATTGTTAAATTATTTTAAAAATAAAAACTAGTAAAGGCATTAACTATAGAGGTACATAATAATAGCTTCAATAATTAAAAAATAGCTCCTATGTGTCTGACTGTGCCATGCAATCGAGAAGATATGAGAAGCAACATGTGTTCCTTAAATTTACAGAGTTTACAAATGTAGAAGCAGTAATAAAAACACATCACACGTAGTATAACAAAACAAAGAGGTAAGAGTGGTACCAAAGGTAAAAATGTACTATGTAATATGGGATCCTGTGAATGATTTATTTGTATTAGACTTGATTTGTTGGTGTGGGATATTGGACAAACTTGGATTTTGGGGTCAGGCAGACCTGAATTCAAATCCTGGTTCTAATGTTTGCCATCAGATTTTGCACACAAGGTATATCCTCAGCATCTTCCTTTGTAAAATTGTTATAATATTACCAATTTTCTAGTATTTTTATAGGAATTGTGATGCCATATTAAAATACTTAGAATGCTAGTTTTCCCTATTTTTCACTTGTGAACTTCTCTAAGACTTAATTCTTTTTTTAAAGATAAAAATCTTCATAATTTTTTTACACTGGAGCTTAACATGCTAAGTAAAATGAGCGCAAGCACCATCTATTGATTAAAGTATGTAAATATCCTGGATTAAAAGGGAAAACTCAAGCAAATCTCCAAGTCTACCCTCTAGTGGCAATTTCAGGTAACTGCATAGTTTCTCTAAAATTGCTTTTGTTAAAGCAGACTGTGAGTATGAAAACATTATTTTAAATGAGAGTTTTTCTCATAAGAATAAGATACATGTCCCTGTTGGGACTCTTGTGAAATTAATTTGGGACATTTATGAAATTAATTTAATAGAATAGTTAAATTTTAGAGCTATAAAAACAAAATACTGGTAGATTTGCAACAATGCTGATATAGCCACAAAGAGTATTTCCATATTAATGGCATAGTTTTCTGGACCTGTGTGTAAAATATATAATACTATTAGGTCATTTTAAACTCAATTTTTGCTTCAAAATCTTTTTACAGCTGAAGTAACCAAGAGTATGTTCTAGTAGATGAAAAATTATCAACATTCTTTAAATGATGCTGACATCTGTGCTTTAATCAGTGCGTCTTGTAGCTATAGACTGAAATATCACTAATCTCAGCATGAGGCATGAGATTACCATTAAGATTATTAACATACTATCAGAAGCAGATTTTTTCTCTCTGATTTCAGCATTCTCTTTTGTTTCATATCTGGATAAGCTGAAGTTGGTCATAGCTAAGGTTTGTATGAAATGGAACTATAAAAGTCACTAAGCTGGACATTATGAGATATGAGAATTGTCCCTAATAAGAGATATGTTATTTATCCTGTTTAATAAAATGAAAGATCACAATGAGTAATTAGAATTGTGAGTTTCTGAATATAAAACATAGCCAAATGAAAGCCAATCAGCAACAGCACAACACAATAAAGTCTGTTTCATAGACTTAAAACAGTGATGATCCAAGTAGAGCTTCCTCACCTGGGAACTGTCAGAAATGCAGATTCTTTTTTTTTCTTTTTTTTTAAAAATATATCTTTATTGATTTCAGAGAGAGGAAAGGAGAGGGAGAGAGAGAGATAGAAACATCAATGATGAGAGAGTCATTGATCGAGCCCACAACCCGGGCATGTGCCCTGACTGGGAATTGAACCCTGATCGCCTGGATCCTAGGTAGACGCTCAGCCGCTGAGCCCGCCCGGCCGGGCGGAAATGCAGATTCTTGAACTCACCCCAGTTCTACTGCATCAGGAACACCTCACTTAGTTATAGCAACTTGTGTCTGAAAACCTTTCTAGTCGATTTTGAAGTATGCTGAAGACTGACCCTAGAGGACTATTCTTTGGGGCATTTCTGCACTTCTCAGATCAGTTTTTGTTCCAGACTATCTTTTCAAGGATGTTTGCACAGCAGACAGAGGTTGTGTCTCTTCTCAGGCTAGAGGGCAGGTTTGTTCCTGCCCAGGATAATAAAGAGAATGTCTCTCTCTGGGGCAGAGATTGCACAAGTTTGCTAGCAGTCCCTTGTGTAAGACTGGGAGTTTCCGAAGCTTGGCACTCCCCACTGTAACATGGACCCCCTCTGTGTGCAACATCCACCAGGCTCTGCTTTCACGAAATCCTTATGGGACTTGGGGAACAAGGGGAATGTGAAGGTCAGGTCTGTTGCCCTCTGACCCAGGAGTTTCCTGTCTTCTGCCAGCATCCATGAAATTATGGCAGGCTGCCTTGCTAGTTTGCAAGACTATTCACATCCCTCACAGCTTAGAGCTACCAGACCAGAACGCTCTAATAAATTGGATCTTCCTCACTTTAGTTAGTTCTCTGTTCAGATGTCACTTCTCAAAAGGGCCTTTCCTGATCACTCCATTTAACATAGTGCCTTATGTTGTTCCTACTCCCCGATCTGCTATAATTTTATTATCAGCTATTATTATTACCTGATATCACAGTATATATCTTTATATTTATTATCAGTCTCCACCACTAAAATGTAACCTCTATGAGGGCAAGGGATTTGTATATGAAGTATATAACCTGATCAAGGTTGTGATTTATGAGAGCGGTTCCCAGCGGGGCGGATGAGCAACGTGCCTCTAAGGTGATATTTGGCAGCGTGTGGATGCAGTTTTAGTCGTCACTACTTGGGGTGTATGTGTGCTCCTGGAATCTAGTGGGTAGAGGCCAAGGATGCTGCTAAACATCCTACCGTGCCCAGGACAATAAAAAATTACCTGGCCAAAAATGTCAATAGTGTTGAGATTAAGAAATCCTTATTTGTGGGAAATGAAGGGGAGAGGACATTATAAGTGACACGACCTAAATATTCCCAGCAAAATTTCAATGGTATGAAACTATAAGAAAAAAAAGACACAGTTATTTCAAAAATAATAAAATATTAAAGGAGTGAAAAGAAAAGGAATAGGTAACCTATAGATCTAAAGGGATAAGAAAGGCTTTATTTGGATTCTGATTCAAACAAACTTAAAAAAAAAAAAAAAAGAAGAAGACATTTATGAGCAGAAATTTGAAGACTGAGTGGATATTTAATGATATTAAGGAATATTTGGGTGTGATAATAGTATTGTTATGTTAAAGAAAGAGATCTTATCTTCTAGAAATACATCCTGAAATACTCTTGGATGAAATATGTGATGTCTCAAATTTGCTTAAAATTAATACAGGAAGAGGGAGGTGGCTAGAGAAATAAATCCTTGAAGCTCAGTTGATATGTTAACAGTTCAGATTTAGGAATGAGAGAGATCAGCAGAGCTGCTGTGGGAGCAAATATATTTACCTGTGTTCTAAGACCAAAACCAAAAGTTGCCTTTGTTTGCTAAATGCAAACTAAAACGAAGGCAGTTGGCTGGAAAAGCAGAGGAGACTAGAAGAGCATAATGACTGTTCTTTTCTTGAGAAGGCAGAGTTGAGGACACATCTGACTTCTTCCGTGGCTACACCACATGAATATTTGGCGCTAGTCACCGAGACTCTCATGTCAGCTGACTAAAGGCTGCTAATCAAAGTTCACTGAAGTAATTGAAATAAAGTCCCCTAAATAATATCCTTTAAAAAAATTATTTTGTTTCCACTTTAAAAATAAAGGTGAGGGGATAAAAACAAATAAGAAAGCTTCAGGCCTTCTAGCAAAGGTTGAAGGACATGACAATATCATAAAAATTGTTAACAGATTTTTGTAACTATTCACTATACATTATGCTGGGTACAAGATACTCTTCATCCCATTTATATTTTATACATTAACCCTCCCTCAGAAGGATAGGTGGGATCCAAAAAGCTGAGTTGCATTAAATATGAGGTCACAACATTATGGAGTGAATAGCATTTCCCAGGGAAGGCTGTACTTCCTGGGGATTTTGGAAGTTTGGGGGAGCCATTCTTTGCGGGGGGGGAAGGTGTATCAGCTGCTGGGAGTTGTGCATTCTGACTTAAATATCAGTGGAAATGTTTCTGGATCCTGCAGTTGCCCAGACAGTGGCAGTGATTTCAAGCATCTTTCGGTGAGTTGCTGTCTGATTTGTGGTTGAGGTCCAGGGATACGGGGAGAGAATAACAATAGGAATGGAGAGCACACCCTTTACTTCCCAATGTCCTGAACCAGGGTTGTTGTTGCTTCCTAACCAAGCCTTGCTCTCTTCCCTCTAGGAAGTGAAAGTGAGCTGACTTCAACTCAATTTATAGCCTGGTTTTCCTTTTCATGGAGTTAAACATGCAAAAGAGCAGGTTATATCCCCGTTGTACAGATGGAAAGACTAAGCTTCAGCAACAGTAGACAATAGAGAGCCATTTACTCAATCTCAAGCATGCATAAGAGGGGTCAATATTCAACCCCAGGACTGTCTTTTGGAGATACTCATGATTTATGGATCCTAATCTAGGCTGAGTTTAGAAGATAAATTAATCGAGAAGATGGGAAGAGAAGTTTCACCTCCCCAGGAATGCGTTCTTTCAAATGTTTCTAGATCAATTTTTAAGTGAAACATAAATTTTTAAAAATTCTTTTAAATGAAACATGAAAAATAGAAAGTTTGTTGATGCGAATATATTTCTAAAGTCAAAATTATAGAAAGAAGCATTGCATCTCAAACATTACAGAAAATCACGTGTGACAGAAAAAAGATTTTGGAAAAATAAATGGATAATTGTTCAAATCCAGAACTAATTTTTATCTTTTTCTATCATAGAAATAATTTCATTGTAAACTTCTTGTGGGGCATCTATTGCCCAGACAAAGTCCAAGTGATTGTAAAAAGGAATCTCCTTGTGGTAAATGACATTAGGGAGTTTTGAAAGCAAAAGGTCAACATCTTGAGTTTCAGCCAGCCAGTCTTTGCCGCCATTCCACACTGCAACTGGCACCTTCATGTCTGCCAAATTGTAGTTGGGAGGTGTGGGCTAACACACAAGAGAGAAAGAACCACAGTTTTCATAGGTATCTGCATTTTAGACCCCAATTCTTATTCCCTGGGTAGCTTAAACAACATAAATTGGCCTAGATATTTTTTATTGAGGCATAAGCCACATAAAATATTATATTAATTTTAGTTGTACAACATAATGTTTTGTTTTGTTTGTTTGTTTAAATTTATCTTAATTGCTGAAAGTATTACAAATGTCTACTTTTTCCCCCCATTGATCTCCTCCACCCTGCATCCACCCCACCCCCAGGCCTTCCCCACACTATTGTCTGTGTCCCTGGGTTACGAATATAAGCATATAAGTTCTTTGATTAATCTCTCCCCATCCACCACCCCCACCTTCCCTCTGAGACCCCTCAGTCTGTTCCGTGCTTCTATGTCTCTGGATCTAGTTTGTTCATCAGTTTATTTCGCTCATTAGATTCCACATATGAGTGAGATCATGTGGTACTTGTCTTTCTCTGACTGACTTATTTCCCTTAGCATAATACTCTCCAGTTCCATCCATGCTGTCCCAAAGGGTAAGAGATCTTTCTTTTTTCAACATAATGTTTTGATATATGTGTATATTGTGAAATGATCACCATAAATCTAGTTAACATCTTTCACTTTACATAGTTGCAATTGTTTTTTCCTTGGGATGAGAATTTTTGATTCACTCTCTTGGCAACTTTCAAATATACAATTCAGTATTATTAACTATAGTCACAATGCTGTACATTACTGGAAGTTGCAACCTTTTTACTTATACTTAATGATTTCAATTTTAAGAAGCTTACCTGATTATAGTGCATCATGTTCTGAACCGGGCTTCCCCAGTCAAAAGCTTTAAATTTTCCAGACTTATAAACCTAATGTAGAGAAATTAAGAATATGTGAAAAATAAAATGCAAACATTTCCAAGGAGTATAACTTTCAATTAAAACAACTACGTGTATTAAAAAACATGTTTTTTTTCATTCCAAAAATAAAATCTATTAATCCTCCATGACAAGGTACTGATGCAAGTTTAAATGCAGCTTTGCTTTCATAAAAACCATTCATTTCTTTGCTGCCCAGAGTACCTGTTTTCATAGGATTTTCACTCACATAGATTGATAGTATTTTTCTGCTGGTTGTCACATGCCAGAAAAATTTCCAACAGGAGCATTTGACAGAATATTTTAAGAATGTGCTTTCGGTTCAGGCTCACAAAATAAATTTTAACAGCATTTAAGAAATGATACCTGAATCCAGTGGAACGCGTTTTGAACAGAAGTCCCTGCTGGGTTATGTGCTAGATACACATCAAAGCGACTCTGGAAACAAAACACACAAGTGCACACTCACACTTAGATCTATATTCAGTTTCTTAAAACAGCTAAGATGTAAGTTTTGTTTTTCTGATCCAAGTCAAGTGTTTAAGGGCAGTGTTTACTCGAAGGATATGAACAACACTGTTGTACATCACTTTAGAGTTTGAAAAGTACAGTTGCATAGGCTAATTCGTTTAATTGGTAGCCACTCAAACAGGAGAGCTAATCATCTCCATTTTATCAAAATGGGAATTGGGGCTCAAAGAAGTTTAGAGAAATGTCCTGTGCCATTCAGGTAGTAATAGCCTGGAGCCAGAGACTTTAATCTAGGTCTTTAGTCTAAATTCTCAGCGTTTTATACTTCTCTACACAGTGCCAGAAGGCAGTAAATAAACTCTGCACACACAGACTTTCTTTCTTTGTAGAACTGTGTGTGTGTGTGTGTGTGTGTGCGTGCGTACATATAAAGAATGCTCATTATATATAGTGAGTTGTACTTTTTTTTTTCCTACATGAGAGGACAATGGGATAATGGAAGGGAGCTGGAGGGGACAAAACTCGGAGCAACAACTTGTGATTCTCTTGGGTTTATCTGCACATCACGCACACAATTCTGAAGCTACTCCTAGTTCTTACAAAGTACCATTTCTAAGTGACGATGGGACCAGTAATAAAAAATGTTGCTCCAATATCCAGAACAGAAATTTCAATGCATACAAACCGTGTTCAAGTTCTTATGGTCGAATCCACAAATGATAAATAAAGCATTGCTGCAGAGGGCATTTACTATTTCATGGGAACACATTTCCTTGCCCACGAAGTTATCAAAATAGTGGTGTGGAAAGAATGCTGTGTTACCAAAGATAACCTGAAAAATAAAGGCAGTAGGGGGTTGGAAAAATCAAGCTGCAGAGAAGACACATTAATTTATCTAATTTACTGGTACAGGTGTGAATAGGCCGATGATCTTTTCATATTTTTATGCTGTTTTAGGAATTTCAAATAGGTTCAAATAATTTCCCACAATAAAGTTGTGGAATGGGCAGGGCATATATTAATACTGGGTGTTTGTTATCACATTGAGAACTGTACTGAATGCTGAGACATATAAGACACCAAAGAGTTACAGTCTAGTTGGGGTAATGGGAGTTAGGAAATAAAATCATAGAATAGCACGGCAGAATGTTGCAATTAAGTGTCAAGACGTGTGGTTTGAACAATAAATCAGGAATAGATCAGAAAGGGAAATGGTGGCTCTGAGTCATAGTCTCAATCAAGTCTTCAGAAAGACAATGAGGCGAGGTAGTTTAATAACGGAAAAGACTGACTGGGCCTAGCTCTTCTTGGGCAAACTTGACATTTTGTCATCCGCATTTTATACAGGAGGAAACATGAGGCTAATAAATATTCAGGGTCTTGGGATAATTAAAATGGATTATAACTAGAATCCTGCCCCAAGCCCCTGACTTAAGGTCTAATGTAGTTTTGGGTTGTTGTGTGTGTGTTTTTACCATTCTCTACCCTGCCTATGAGAAAATCTGAGTACCAGCGGGAAATAAGTTCTGCATCAAGGTAGCCAGGGTCATCACAAAATCTTACATTTTGAATAAAAGCTTCGACCCGAAGCAAAGTTTCTCAGGCTTCAGACACACAAGTTAATTAAGAGTGAAAAGAAGCCAGTAGTACTAAACCAGACAAGGGCAGGGCATCATTACATCGTAGAGCTCGAGGTTAAACTGTTCTCTTAACGGAAACCGGACGTGTCAGTTTTGGCGGATGGGAGAAGTAGGTGATCCAGCTTTGGAAAAAAATAAAATTATTAATTCCCTGCCGTGTATGCCTACTTAATATTTATGGCTTGTTGCAATCTATGCTACTGACCTATGAAATCCCTGTTTACAGGGAAAGGAGCTCGTAGGCAAAGGCTCGGAACGCCCAGAGAGTTTAAGGAGGGGCCTCAAGTCCTTGCCTCCCTCCACCGTGACTTTTCTCTTCCCCTTTCCCTTCCCTTCCCTCTCCTCCTTTCCATCCTGTCCTTCCTCTTCCTAGTTGTCTTGGCCCAGCTAGTTGCAGTTCTTACTGGACTGTTCTGTTCGGTTTTTATTTCCCTCCCGGGCTCGGGGAGGAATCGCGGCCTTGTTGGAGCTGTGAGGAGGGCCTGGCAAATGAAATCCCCTGAAGGCACCGCCAAGCCCCGCAAGGCAGCCAAGAGCAAAGGCACAGGCGGGGATCACAGGCTGCTGTGGGGACAGACACGGTCAGTGCTACTCAGGAAATAGTACAGCAAGAGGGTACATTTCTATTCTGAATGCCAACATGACTTTCACCATGGTTTTTGTTTCATTCCGTCACTTTGAAATCCAGGGACGCTTTGACACCCTCCATTCAGTTAAAAAGAACCTCATACCTTAAAGAGGAATGGAGGGATAAGTGCCAGCTTTTTTATCGGGCTTTTGGTGTGCTTCAGAGAAACAATGGGAGCTAAAGCGTGAAAGACTTCGATTCTTTTAGCCAGCGTTGCATTAGTAGAAAAGGCAATAAAACCTGAAACAGAACAACAACAAATGGGTGAAGTATTGTGTGTGTGTTACAACTGTGACATTATTTTAGGTTTAATAGGATTCCCATCTGAGGAAACCTGAGAAATAGATCATCTCTGCTTGTTCAAGGTAACCACATTTTAGTATTTTTAAAATTTNGTGTGTGTGTGTGTTACAACTGTGACATTATTTTAGGTTTAATAGGATTCCCATCTGAGGAAACCTGAGAAATAGATCATCTCTGCTTGTTCAAGGTAACCACATTTTAGTATTTTTAAAATTTGCTTTATTTCCAGAAATTTTCTATGGGAACATGAGGCTATAACTTTTGTTATAATAAACTCTTTTACCTGACTTTAGAAATAGGTCAACTTCAGGATAATCATATGGTGACAAAAAAGAGTTATTTATACTATACCTAAGATTTGATGTGTCTAAATTCATCTCATCAAATGAGATAATTAACTTTTAAAATGAGTAGGTTATATAAGCAGAAAGGCTACGAGCATAAGTTTGAAATCTGACTAAACAGGATTTTGAATACTGGCTTTGCAGTTTATTAGTCTTGTGACCTTGGACAAGTCACCTAAACTCTAAGAGCCTCAGTTTCCTCAGCGGAAATACGGGCGTAATAATGAATGCTTTAGTAGGTTGCACAGGAACTCAACAGGGTAAATCATGTAAAGTGTTTACCAGGATATTTGGCACCTAGTAAATTCTTGACAAACAAGTAGCCAAGATATATCTGAATTACCTACACATGTTAAATATACTCAGCCCTGTCTGTAATTAATCAGTTTTATGAACAGGAGTGTATTAGTAGACTGGAATGGAATCAAATCGTTTTTAAGTTCTATTTCATACAGTTAAACTACACAGGACAATCTTTTCCCACCGTTAGTAATGGCACATACATGAGACTCAAAAGTGGCCTGGAAAAAAACAAACCACTTTCAGATTTATACTATAACCTCACCTATGTAAGATACAACCTGGTTCTAGTTGAGGAAGAATGTTTTTTTCCAGGTGCACTGTGTTTTTTAAGGAATTCTTTATCTGGTTGCCTAACTCTTCAGATGATAGGCGGCACATCACCAAGAATGAGCAGGAATCACACACGAGGAACCCACGTGGGGTCAGTAGGTCCCTGTGCTGTCAGGACAGGGGGCTTCTCAGGGGACTGCTCAGTGTAAGCTAGACCCTATTTTAGACGCAGTTCTGACAAGGATACCTCCCACCACACAGAAGTTGGAAGGATATCAATGTGAAGGCAGAAAAACTCACAGAAATGTACGCGTATGGTGAGAGCAACAGCAAGTTGTGCAGAAGTGAGAAAGAAAAATGGGTATGTTCAAAATTCGAATAACTCGAAGGAGTGGTGGGTTGAAGTTATTTGGTATGAGGTTAAGCAGTTTTACTCATCTCTTTAACACCTAAGGAAATGTTTGTATTGCATCTCAGTGCAATAATTTCATAACTCTAGATCACTGAGAAAAGGTGAAGCTGCGCTCAAAATGTGCTATTTAAAAAGGCAAGGGAGTGTGTCGTAAGTCCACACATATTTCCATTCAAAATGGTTAAATTTGTATACAGTTTTGGAAATTAAAGGAGTAGATCTTAGTCATCTAGAAGTCTCTTTCACGAAGGACTTTGAGTCAGTTGTGGACCCTGTGTTACTGCTGCTGAGCTGCATTGCCCAGACCCCCTTCAAGCCTAAGGCACTTATTCAACCCTGCAGGTAGGTGGTCAGTCCTCTCTGATTTTGCTTTTTCTCAATGAGAACCCAAGGTTACGCTTCCTTCTTGGGGCAGCCTGCATTTAATGAATGGGCAACAAGGAGGGTAAAAAGGCCCAGCCACCTAGCCTCACTGGAGAAGAGCCATGGTGTACAGAGTCGGCTGAGGCCTTTTGGCTTCTGCGTCACAGCTCAGCTTCTCTCTCTCTGCCTAGTCCTGCTTTTTGCCCTTTCCCCTAAAGTTGCTTCTCTAAAAAACATCCTGAGTACTAATCTTCATCTCTTTGGGAACATGACTTATTACATTGAGATGCTCTATCTCACTGACCTTTTCCTCAGTCTAAAATTCTACAGGGGAGACCCATGCTTTAGGACAAGCTAGCAATAAGGAGAGAACTGCCGAAGGCTTCTACTGATTTCACCCACTTCCCTGCATATGTGTCCGCATACAGACATTCTCACTGCTTAGAATTGTATTAGGAAATAAAGTCCTCAGCTGACAGTGAGAATCAGCATAAAAATATGCAATCATTCCTCCCACATGACTCGTCATTTCCTCCTCCTGCTTCCACCCTGCTTCTTTTATAATTGATGGTTTGACCCCTCCACTTGAATCTGCAATAGGCACCTAACACTTAGCAGGTCTAAAACTGAGCTCCTGCTATCCCCCACCACATCAGTTCTTCTCAGCTTTCTTTTCTTTTTAAAATTGATCTCAGAGACAGAAGGAAGGGAAGGAGAGAGGGAGGTAGAAGAGAAAGAGAAAGAGAGAGAGAGAGAAACACTTGTCCTGACTGGGGATCGAACCTGCAGCTTAGGTATGTGTCCTGACTGGGAATCGAACCCGTCACCTTTTGGTGTACGGGACAATGCTCCAACCAACTGAAACACACCAGCCGGGGCTCTTCTGAGTGTTCTTCATCTTGGTTAATGGCAGCTCCATTACTCCAGGAGCTCAGGCCGCAAATCTTGTCATCATACTTAATTCCTCTCTTCCTCTTACACTCATATCCCATATGTAAGCAAATCCCGTTGGTTTCATCTCAAAAATATTATTTTAAAATATATATCTAGAGCCTAACCACGTATCATTATCTCCCCAGCTACCTGCACCTTCTCACCTAGGTCACTATCATCTCCCACATGGGATACTGTAAGAGTCTCCTCTAACTGGCTTCTCTGCTCCAGCCCTGGTTCCCCTTCAGCAACTAGAGGGACCCTGTTAACAGGATCACATCACTCCTGGTTCTGTAGATGATCAATACGTCGGATCATGTCACTCCTCTATTAAAAACTCTTCCGTGATTTCCATTTTCTCTTAGTGTGAAAGCTGATTCACCTACACTGTGAACACCGTCATTGCCATTCCCTCTTCCTGGAACATCAGTCTTCCAGGTATGCACTACATATGGCTCACTCCCAGACCTCCTTCATGTCACTACTTACGAAGGTTGGTACTGTCCCCTATCTAAAAGTGTTGTGTGCCCCTGTGATGCTCCCTAATATCTTTCCTTCATTTACTTTTCTTTCCATAGCATTACCATTATCTAATAGACTTTATATTTTATTTTTTAATCTTTGTCATTTTCTCTGCCTCCTCCTACAGAATGTAAGTAGTAGGAAGACAAATATTTTAATCTATTTTATTTAGTGTCATATTCTCAGGAATCTGGTGGGTGCTCAATTAATACGGTTGAATGAATGGAATCAGTTCAGTCCAGAGGCTGTGTGGTGCAACCTTTCAGAGCTTGGGGGGCAGAGCACCTGGGCTGGTAAATGAGCTACATTATTTGTAATAATTAGGTTACCTTGCACAAATTATTTACCCCCTATTTTGTTTCCCTATGTATGCAATAGGAATAATAATTGTTCCTATGTCATTGGGCTGTTGTAGACATTATATTCTATAATGAAGGGAAAGCAACTAGCGTAATGACCAACATGCCTGCATAGCAACGGGAAAGGGGTCTATTCCAACTAAGCCACCTGCTTTAACTGTTTTTACCTACCAATGGTGGTGCCCTGGGAATGGCCAACATAATGCAGCTTTTCCTGTCCAGTTTTCTTTAAAATGAAGTCAATGGTGGCTGGAAGGTCATATTTAGCCATTTCATCGAAGCTGCAAGAAAAAGACAAAATAAAACAACAGATTTCCTTGCTATAATTTCTAAAAGTCAAACATATTGATAGCTAAGGCTCCCTTTGAGAAATTGAAAATGATTCTCTAAGCATCGCTGCTTATAGACCATCAGTGAGGGCCCAGTGCTCTTTGGGATGGCTTCTCATAAATGGTTGACATCATTTCTGAAGCACAGCATTAAAGCCACAATTGAATCAAAACAAGAGAGTATCTGTAGCTAGGGATTATTTCTACCCCAAAAACAATATCAGGTTTAATAATCATTTGTACACAGTGTTCCGCTGTCATTAAATATGAACCATATCCCTATTTTATTCTTCACAAATCAGCCAGAACAACCTTTCGAAAATGAAAATGGAATTCTACCACTCCCTTGTTTAAAACTTTTCAGTGGCTGCTCATTAAATTTTGAATGAGCTCCAAGGCCCTCACCATGGCCTATGCAGCCCTGCCTCATCTGGCCCTTGTCAGCGTCTCCAGGCTCCTCTAGTGTCACTCTCCCACTTCCTCACTACAGCAGGGACACATAGGATTCCTTCCAGTTCCCAGAACTCTCAGCATTTTTGTGCCAAATTGTCTTCAGTTCTCCACTTCCATTAGTAATTTTCAGGAATAAGGCACGTGAGGGACCACGAGAGAAAACCTTTGGTAATCTCTCCACGGTATCCAGCCTCATTGTCCCATCCCAACCTCGACGTTGACACTGGCTCAGATCGCTGTCCTTGATTCCCCAGCTGGGCTGAACATTCTCTTGAACCCCTGTGGATGTTCCTCTCCAAATCTACTCAGGGGAGAACATTTCCTTGCTTCCGTCATTTTGTTCATTCCCTTTGGAAAAGCATAATCAGGGAGTTCTCTAATACTGGGTAAGGAGATCACGGAAAGTTTGGAGAAGAAAACGACCCTTGCAATGAGGTGTATGGAAGAATCCATGAAAGAAAATAAAAATTTCTTCTTTCTCTTCTTACTTGGAGTATAATATGCTAAAATGGGACTGAATCGGAAGGGGTAAATACCCATACTCTTTAAATTCAATATTTATTTTTGTGTCCGTTGCTAATTGTTTCTTTTCTTTACCTGAAAGCCCAGAATTCAGCGGACTCTGGTGAATAGTATATATTTCTCTTGGCCCAGGTATTCCCCCGGCTGTTCCCCAGCCACACATCATAACCAGCGTCGGCCAGGAGGAAGCCCAGGCTGTTGTTGGGCAGGTTAGCAATCCAGTTTGTGGCCGAAGCGATAAAACCGTGTTGTAAAAACACAACAGGTCTCTGACCTAAAGGAAAATATTATTTAAAAGCTGTATAAACTCATTTCTTATTCTAAGATAAATTATAAAGATAGAAATAGGGTTTCATAGCACTAGAATGAAATCATTTGCTTGATTGAGTTGAATACTTTTGAATATCTTACCTTAATTATGGTGATGGTTTCTCAGATGACAGAACTTATCAAATTATACCCTTTAACTATGTGCAGGTTTTTGTATGCCAATTATGCCTCCCAAAACTATTGAAACAATTATATTCTAAAAAATTCAGCATGATGTTCATTTAAGTGGCCTTGCTTAATTTTATACTTCCTGTACTATGCAATTTTTCTACAATGAGAAAAAGATACATTTTTAATAGTACTAGCAAAAATGAATTTTCTCTCTTTAAGAAATGAGCCTTGACTTGCCTCCCAGTTCTCCACCCTGAAACACACACCCTGGCTGACTCTCCCCGATCCTCTAGGACTGAACTCAGTCTTATTTCAGAGAGCAAGCTTTCCTGGACTTCTCCCAGTGAGGTGCCTTTGTCAGGACTGACTTCTGGTTTAATATCCTGTGTGTGCTTCTAGCATTGCTCTGATCGCATGTTATTATCATCACTGTTTATCTCCCTCATTCGCTTGGTGGTGACCTCCTTGAAGACTGGAGATACGACTTCATCACTGCTGCATTTCCAGAATGAGCAAGACTCGTGAGGTCTTTAGGAAAGAATACAAGGAGGAAAAAGGGGAGGAAAAGAGCAAGGAAGGCAAGAAGGGAGGAAAGGAGAGAGGGAAGGAGGGAGGAAGGAAGAGGGAAAAAGGAAGGAGGGGAAGGTTATACCTCTACTCTCAGGATTTTTCTTCCCATGAGGAATTCTGTAGACCTCAAGAATATAACCGTCTTTAGTCACAACTTCATGTTCTTCACTCGGGTATCCCCAATAAGAAATCATCTGACTCTGATGAGGAAAAGCCAAAACTTTTTTAGTTGACTTCTTAAATGCATCTGGTTAAGTAGATAGCGCTATATTTAATCGAGCATGTGAAAGCTTATATCCATTCTAATTCTAAGTCATGGCCATATTTTGGTTTTATAGGTTTTGCTGTGGGTTTTTTTTCCCCCTCCAGTAACTTACAACATTCATAGTCACTTCAGGGTTTTCAGGATGTAATTTGCCGAAGAAGCCGTGTGTAGTTCCAAGTGCAGAGATCAGACTTGCCACTGTGAATAGTAACCACATTTTGGTTCTGCCTGGAATAGAAGAATAAATGGTGCCATGGTTAGCCTATTGAACTTTCATAATTCTCCTACTTTTTTGTTTTTTAATTTTATCTTCATGTGAAGGAGAGAAATGTTTAGGTTTTATTACACTCTGTTGAACAAAAACCTGGGACACATGGGTGTTAGCACAGCATTTTAATTCTTAACATGTTTCCACTCTACTTGATTCCTTTTGCTTAAGAACATTTCCATTGGGTTTTGAAGTGGTTTTGAACAAAACTTAATTGATAAAAAAGTCTTCTGCCCTGGCTGGGTGCCCCAGTTGGTTGGAGCATCGTTCCGTACACCAAAAGGTTGTGGGTTCGATTCCCAGTCAGCACGCATACCTAGGTTTCGGGTTCCATCCCTGGTTGGGAGCACATGGGAGGCAACCTATCAATGTTTCTTGCTCACATTGATGTTTCTCTCTCTCTCCCCCCCCTCCTTTCTTCTCTCTCTTCCTTCCTCTGTCTTTAAAATAAATAAAAACGTCCTCAGGTGAGGATTAAAAAAAACTCTTTTAATTATCTGGCATAATATCATATTCCAATTATGCCTTATGTTTAAGGCTTTTGCCATCTTTTTTTGAGAGTCCAAAGTTGGGGGGGGGGGTGAGACATTGTGTGGGCATTTGACTCTTCTAGATTCAATCTCAATATAACATGTATTCAAACTGATCATGATGTTTTTAATATTGTTAATAATAGTCACTCCATAAATATTTATCATGAGGTAATTATGTGGATTTTAAAGCTACCTCCATCTTCTCAAAATACTGCCATAACTAGAGTCACATGTGAATATAATTTTAGGAAAGTTTTTGCTCTTTTAATTTTTTGCTGTGATATTACCTAATTGAAATTACCTAGGTAAGCCTTGGCAAATATAAATTGACAATGCATTGGAGAGTAGAATTTCTCCCCCCCACAAGTCTTTAGCAACAAAAAGGAAAATCAGTATCATGATTTGAAAATGATTCTAGCAATTTCCTAATTCGACCCTGTCATATTTTATGGGTAAGAAATAGCAACTTACTTCTTAGATAATTTAATGATAATTTCAAGTAGACTGACTTAGTGCTATTGTTTAAATAAGCAACCTTTCACTTAATTGCTTTATCAAAATTGTCAGGCTTTTATAAACTATTTTAAAAAGTGGAAAAAAAAAAGTTAATCTCCATAAAACATCTGCAGCTCTTATGACAAAAGATTAATTTCTTTAATATCTAATTAGCTTTTATAAATCAGTAAGAAAAAGAGTCACATCAATAGAAATTGGCATAGTACATGAAAAAGCTTTTCATAGATATAAAAGTGGCCTAAAACCTAGACTTAAAAACATTTGCAAATATTCTTAATTTATCATCCATGCAATACATTAAAACTAGAATATTATAATAGTTTCCATCTATCAAATAAAGTTTGATAAATTATAGTAATGGCAAAGTTGGATAAAACAGACACTTAAAGGTGGTTTATAGCTATATACATTTTTGCGAGGCGTCCGGTGCCGCGCGACTGCTTCCCGCCGGGCTGAGCGGGCAGGTGGGGGACTGGCAATAAGACACGAGAGACAGAAAGCGGGATCCGGGGGCTCGCCGCAAGCTGATGCCTACAGGCGGCCCTAACAGGCGTTGCAGCTTTATTTTATCCCGCACTGGATTGCCTCTCAGGCACTCTTAGCACCGGGTATCGTTCTCCCTCTGCTGGCCCAGCCACCGTCCCCAGGTTGCCCCCCGAGAGGGCAAACCTGTTGCTTTCACCTGGGTGCACGTGGCTCGGGCTCCCTGTCCCTGGGGAACGAGGCCTAGCCTTTGGCTGAGCCTCCTGGGCTGCAAGGGCTTTGCCAGCCTACAGCCCGCTCCCACATCTCCCCCTTTTCTTTTTTCTAAGCGCAGCTGATGCGGGTCTACTCGGAGCTGGAGAACCTGCAGAAACCAAGACGCATGAGTGTCACGATGCCAAGGAGACACCGGAAAGGATGCTGCAACCTATTAGAGGGGTTCAAACCATTCGAGCCCCTTTGCACAGCCAGCAGGGCGACAAAGAGGGTGTCCGGGGTGCGCGGCCCCCCATGTGGACGCACCGCCCCTTCTCCCTGCGCCGTCAAGCGCTGGATATGCCCCCCGGTGAGTGGACCCTGGGGCACGAGGGCCTCGGGCGGGGTCTGCAGGGGCGTCATCCCTGGCACCATGGGCCTCCCCCGGGGTCCGTGCCGCCGCTCCCGCCGCTCGGCCCCTCTGCCCATCTAGGAAAAACACGAAGGCGGCCTGGGCCCCAAATAAGAGCCGGGTCCGGCCCGGTCCACTTTCCGGTCAAGGGGCCTTTGCAGAGCACCTGCGGCTGGGCAGACGCCCGGCTCGGCGGCCTAGGGCCCGGGTCGCCCACATCCGAACAATCGGGGTAAAAAGTGCTTGATGTAACACGCTAGCGGGAGAGGGGTGGTACCGTCTCCCCCTTTTTGTTTCTCTAATTGAGTCTTAAGGGTGCGGGGCGCACGCTCGACTGTGCCCTGACCGCGAGGACCGGGAGGGACACCAGCGCGGAGAGCGATGCCAGAGGCGGCGCGGGAGGCAGCGAGGCCCGACGGGTGCAGCCGGGCCCACTCTCCGCCTTAGTCTGGCCACGGCCGCAGGCGCCGCCGGGCGGTGGCCACGGGCGTTCCGCACTCTCCGGGTTTGGGCCACGGCAAAAATAAAGCCGGGAAACGTATCCACAGACGCGTGAACCCAGCGTTGGCGCGCAAAAGAGGGTAGGCGTGCTGCGTCCATCCGCCTAAGCCGGGGGACAGAGGCCGCGGGGTTCACTGCGCACGCGGGAACGGCGAGGAAAGGCCGGCAGTGTGAGCGAGATCTGACGGCGCGCCCAGCAGCCCCGCGGGAGGCGCGGCATTCCCTGCGTCAGGCAGAGGCACTCCGGGCACCGGGGGCGTGGGACGGGCGGGCCAACGCCCGGGGGCCCCTCCGCTGGAAAGGCTTCAGTGTCCGCGGCGGCAGTGC